TTGGAATTCATCGGTATAATATATCACTGGATAGAAATTATTACTAAGAAGTGATAAATTTGTCATTTGTTTTAGCTGGTTTATATTCAAATATATTTAAAACTGAGAAAATATAGCAATTTTGGGACGAAAAATTCTCGACGTGCGTGCCAAGTCATTCCAGCGCAAGAGGGATTAATATTATTCCCCTATCGTTTTCAAATCATTGAATTTCCTTTCTCCCACTCTCGCATATTACTTGCCCACCCTATATTTTCACGAAGTATAGAGGACAGCTCCTACCGAGGCTACGCACAAAGGAACTCTTGCCGTGACGAACCACCTATAATTAGAGCAGGTATTCGAGTGAAAATTATAGAGGGGAAAAGGACGAAGGGTAACAGCTAAGGGTGTGCCTGACTACATATACAAGAGGATCCGCAAGAACCAACAACAAGAACCGACAACAGGAATTGCCTGTACCGTAAGACGTAAGATGAATCAAGAAGACTCGAGGTTCCAATTACATTTAACTCTTGTTATAAAACTATCACAACTCTTTTCATTCGCTGTGAATGAAATATCTTGATATTTCACCTTGTGCAAATTATCGTAAATTTATAACAATCGCATTAGATATATATCCTTATAGACACTTTTTTTTTGTGAAAATAAACTATATGTAATATTTCGACGCTAGTTTATATCCATAGTAGGTATCCATAAATTTACAATGAAATATCGAAGTTGAAGTTTGAAAAATTCATACAAACTCGATGCATATTTATATATTAATAATTATGAATTTACAACAGGGAGGAGTTTTGATTCTAATTTAAATCGAAATAAGTGTGTCAATGATGTCGATTTAAATATGACTCTTCAAGTTCATATTTCATCACAAATCGTCCTATCATTCATAAAATGGTGTATGTAGGTCTGTACAGAGGGTTAAAACACCATATGATCAGAGGACAATTTTCTGCGGCGTTTATCACCGAAAAGTTCACGGCACTTGGGTGAAAGTATACGAAGAATCGAAGAGGCGGTATATATCTCGGAGAAAGCGTGTCGAATTTAATTCCTCGTAAAGCTCCATTAATTTACGGGTGGCCACTAAAGGACATCCAACATATTCGACCATCCAGTTCAATTATCGAATCCATTTAATGCCGGTCGTACGTAATGAGTACGTGCAAAAACCACTTGTAAGATTCGTTGGCTTTTCACCTGTCATTAACCGAGAAAGACCAGTTTATCTGCATCCTGCGCACAGCAGAATGTTAAGATTTTCTATCCTCGAATTCCATGATTCAGACTTACTATTCTGTATCTGCAAGATTTTCAATGCGAAAATTACGTTTCACGAACATTTATGACAAACCCCCAAACGATACAGACACCGAGTGAGATTGGAAATGATGATACCAAACTTACCGATCGACGCTACCGTTTTTATCTTCTAAAATATCTTTCAAGCTACTATTTCAGCAATCGAAACGTTCGTAGTTTCTTAATTAGCATTTACTGTTTTTGCATTCAGTATTACCGCTGCATGCGGTTTGCAAAACTGTCCGAATGTAGTTGGCGAACTGCTCGCGAGATGCAAATGGCATTAAGATCTCATACTATAAGCCGGAACGTAGTCGCGTGCACGATGAAATAATGTTGCAAAGTTTATGATAGGATAAAGGTGGCTTTCCCTGTACTGCCAAACTATGAACTTGCGTAGGTACGTAAATACATCGAATAGTAATATACATATGTATGTGTATATAACAATAATATCATAAAAGTAAATTTAATACGTCTTACAATAACATGTAATATAAATTGTAACTTATTTTATTATTATTGTAGAAAATAAATCCAATTTACCAATTTGTTCAAGAGTACCAAAAAGTATTAAAATTCCGACGGATTTTATACACCGATCCTAATCACAGCAGAGGGAAGGTTAGTTCCAAAAAGAAAAAAAGAGGGAGAGCCTAGAGATTCGAAAACGTTGCTCCGCCTTCCGCTAATCAGCGTCGTCGCTGTAAAAAAAGGAGGAATAAAAAGAAAGAAAGAAAAAAAAAAAAGTGGTAATCCCGTCGTTTTCTATTATTTTTTAAAGGTTTCCTTTCTGGAGCATAGGTAGCGGTCGTTTAGGCGGTAAATCTTAATGAGAATCGAGGGTGTGGCCTTGGTTGGGCTTGAGAAACGATGATTGCAACCCCGTGGGCAACGTTTAAAGGAACGGGTCGTCGCGTCAACTTTTACACGCACGACACACGTCGAGGGAGTGACCAATTCTCTCTACGGACGCACCTTCGAGCTTTCTTAATGCGAGTTTGAGAAGATTTTAATCTACGAACTCGATTACTGCCGGAGCGCCTCTGGTTAACTCAGAATTAAAGATGCGAGCCAGAGGGGAAGATAAAGTCGGTGATGTTGATCCTTTGGAATAATTTCTCTCTTATTTGAGTTAATGCCTTCCTTTACTCGTGTTACTCGTGTTCACATTTGTATGTTATACGTGTATGTTTTGAAATTTTAGGTAATTCCATTGTAAATGAAATATTTCCTTGTTTCTTATATAATTAAGTTCCTTCTTCATGGAACTAGTTAACTCTAACAATATATGAATTTATTGCGATATTTTGGCTTTTATTTTTTACACAACTCCTTTTTGTTCATTCACACAGCAATGTCACCTTCCCTCTCGAGTCTCAAAAATTTACCAATCACGAAAAGTTTCATTTTTTTTTTTCAAATTTTCATTCTGTCAAACTTCTTTTTATTTTTCTCCTCATCGAGATTAATTCCCTGTGGAAGCTTTGAGCTTCCCAAAAAGCACTTATGTACCCTGTTGCCCTCTTTCTAATCACCATTATATTCCCTGTCAGCAAATTTCAATTCTCCCGCGCGGAAATCACATGAATCATCTAACAAGGCTGGTCGGTGCAACGGCGTAGGAACGTTTAGTATTTGTTTGCGGGCCAAGCTTTCTCGACTCTCCGCTAGCCCAGCTATTTTCGGTTTGTTTGGCCACGGTTTTTTGCGCTTCTCTCGTCCGAGAGATCGCTTCGTTTCACTGACCTCCTCCTCCCACCACGATATCACACAAAACATCTGAAATATTTAAAGAAATATCCAACACTCAGCTACGCAATAATAACTAGAAATAATTATCCAAGTCAAAAGGGCCCGTTCAATGAGATGTGAAATGAAAGTGTCAATTAAGCACTGCAAAACATTTATAACGATCGATGGTTATCCAATACTTCGATATCCAATTGTTGATGATCGATCATTTGGGATTATTCAAATTCCACGCATATTTCTATTTATGAACACGTTCCGTGGCAAGCGATTTTTGCCTTTTGTTGTCGTTCAGGCCATTTGTATTACATCATCAATCGATAAGTAGTTCTCTTGTTTAGAGTAGCTATCACATCGTTAAATCATCAGCAATCGATAATAAGTAGTTCTCTTGTTTAGAGTAGCTATCACATCGTGTACCACTTCTGGTACACGTGGCCTGAAGATCAAGTTTAACGTGTACCACCGCTGGTACACATGGCACGGAACGCGTTATATTATATTATATATATATATATTAGAATTCTCTCTTCTGTCTGTTTC